CAATTGATAACCTTATCCAGGCTTCGTTAAACCAGACCATCTATGTTATGCTTAAACCGGTTAATACCGCTATTAAAATTGCTGTGAGTGTTTTCAAGCAGCAAAAAAGAAGGGAGAGAGGGTGCTCTGTGTTAAGAAAGAAGCTGTTATTCAAATTTGTTAACGTAAGACTTACACTATATTTTTACTTTAAAATGAGTATTACCATCTATACTACTCCATTTTTGTTTATCACATAACAAAGAGTAACTTCTGCACTCAAATGAAAGAATAGACTTGGAAGACATTATTGTTTAAGGTCAAGCTAATTTTCTCAATTTTTTGCTATGTCTTTTTATAGTATAACGACACTTTCCTTAATGAAAAGCAAGTCCAACAATATGGTTGTTGATGACCTCTATCAAAGCAACATTGTATATATGTTGTTGCAGAAGAGAACGTTTTGTGCAATATATCAACAAAAAGGCTAAGTAATGCTCAGGTTGCTTTTTTGGCCACATATTATGCATACAATGTAGAATATAGTGAAAGCAAAATATATATCTTTTGTGAAAAGTTGAGGTGGAGTGTTATCAAATGTGTTCAACAAATGACGCATGCTCATGGCTGTATAGATTATGTTTTATTCCAATTCTCTTTTGTGAAGTTTAATTTGGATACAACTACAATTATAAATCTAGTAAATCACCATTAAAAAATAACAACGTGAAGTTTTACGTACAATAACATTATTTTCTAAGCATTTTGATAAAAATATGTTCTGCAAAATAAAATTTACTTCTACTTGTGTCCATTATGAAGTTGGTACCAACTCAGCACTCGCAATTGCAGTCAAATTTTTTAAATAAAGTTGTTTTTGCTGAATTTTCAGCTAAATTATATGACGTATTTCGTGAATTAGGATTCAGTGTACCGATTGCTCAAAAATTAACGTTTTAAACATAAACAAAAGCGCGCAATGCCTCGTGGCTGACACACATTCTTTAACCGCGCTCTTACCATGCCCAAAAGTTTAGACCAAACTTCAATAGCAGCAGGTTTTCGTCATTAAGGCTTGAGCGTGTTATAAATTTCTTTCCAATGTTGCAAACAATTCGCCATCAGTCTTTGCGTGTGTGAATTAATGTACACATGTTGTCATAGTCTACACAATATAATGCCTAATTGCAAGCTTGTAGCAAAAACTCTCTTTCAATATCAAACAATCATCCAATGCTCTTGCTTGAAGCTTGAGTGTCTGCACATATGATAAGTTTGCTATAGTATTAGCTGAATTTATCGAAGCATGTCTAAATGACTAATAAACTAGCACATCATTGCGAGTGATATTTCTATGCATATGCTTAGACGGCTCATAGTGAAAATATCATGTTTGTCATGACGTAAAAGCGCACGCCACCTTTGCCCGACCTTGTTCAACGTCGACATTGACTACGAAAAAAGCGGTAGTTTTTACAAAATATAATAGTGAAATAATCGGAGCAAATTTATGATGTTATTTTTATCTATTATGTTTGGGAAGTTAAATGTTTCATTTATGTACGATATGAATTTAGTTTGTTTTCTTTCACAATTAGTTATTAAAAATTTCTTCATTGAATTATCCGGAAAAAGTGTATTTTGTTTACACTCAATCGTTTATTTTGGCTACAATAGACAATGTCGATCACGAGTAAGCAAAATTCAGTGTTTTCCTCTGTGTCAAAGAATAAAAGCGTCTTATATATCAGAAATGTCTTAAAAAAATCATAGATAACTGTCGGATTGTAATTAAAGCTTGAAATTGAAGCTTTGATTATTGCTACTCAATCCGCCTATTAGAGACCTTTAACTAAATGAAGCCTAAATGAAGCAGCTATCTCAAGCGCAGATTTAGATATCCGGATGCTGTAAATAAACATGGCGGATCTCGTCATCTGCCACTGAGATTCACCGGAAATGACTGCCTTTTATAAAAATTTCACAATTTTTCACTCCCCCTTTAGAAAGGAGCGAGAAAAAAAGTGCTTGTATATTTGGAATTAAGCATAGACTATTATGACGAAAATCAAGGTAAAAACATAAAATTGACTTCAGGGAGTCCATTGTGGTTGCAGGTTTTTGGCTTCAAGGAGGGATGCTATCGATGAAGGAACTCCCTCTCAGTCACAAATAAACTAAGATGTGCGTTCTAAGAGCACTCGAGAAAGTCTGCCATCCAGCAGAACGTAAACAAGGCAAGTCATGTATACCAAAAAGAACACCTTGGTACATCTCTACGGTTCACGAGAAAAAGTTGGCTTGTTGGTTATCATTAATTTTTTACTTCTTTTCCTGGCATTGGGTGATGGCCTTTTTTGCTCAAGTTGTGCGATCAGTACTTGTTGCTCTAGGAAAATAACCTATAAATCTTTGAACAATTACAGCTTCACTTATTGTATATGATTTTTTGTAATTATATTTCATAAAAAATTTCATGAACACTCGAGTTTGATTACGTTTGACAAATATAAACAATCAAGACTTTTTATAAATCACTAAGCTCAATATTTGTAATGTTATGAACCGCAGCTGCATGAAATACCATTACGTGTAAAGTTGTTGCACATTTTGATTTTTTGGCCTTTTTTTGCATGTTTTTCTTCCATTATTTTGCTTAGTTATTGTTTTCATAAGAAGGAGGGGGTAGAGGTTATAAATTTAAAGTCTTCATAATTTCGAAAACGCTTTTAAGCCTCTAGAATAAAAATTTACAACATATGTTTAATTCATTTAGTTTCATTGCCTTACTGTAATATATTCACCATACTATAATGCATATGCACTTCATCATTCTTGTATGCACAAAAAACCAGTTGTGAATACTGAGGAAAAAAATCGAGTGCTCACTACATTTGAAATTTATTATTGAGGTGAAAGCTGTATTAACCATTTTAATTGTACACTTACATTCCAATTGTAGGTGAAACAAAACAAAGAGAAAGAAATTTAGAAGTATCAGAAACATAATTTTGTATAAACAGCATTCAAATATAAATCATTTTGCAAGCATAAGAATTTTCATGTTTATTTACATTTTACCTATTTCATATTTCATTGACACCAACTGTCATCACATCTATTCGACGATCATCTCTAATAACCGTGTCTGGTACAATCTTATACAAAGTATTATATAAAGTGTTAGATGAATTATTATATATAATGTTTACAAATAGTTATATAATTGAATTTTAAGTCGTTTTTCTAAAAAAAATACTTGAATGTGTTGTTTAAATTAGTTTCTTTGTTGAGTTCTTTTAATTGATCAAGTAATTTTTTTCTTTTTTCAAATAAGTCAATTAAAAACTCTACGTCCTTCTCATTTTCACAGATGATATTTCCTTTTATATGTGAATATAGTTGTTAACACACTTTTCTACGAAGGAATGTTTTATGCAGTGCGGTGTTTGAAATGAAATGTACATATTATCTTCGCACTTTGTTGGACAATTTAAGCAATTGTCTCATGACACTGTGTGACTTCATAGCTCAATTGGTCAGAGCACTGCACCGGCACCGCAGAGGTCATGGGTTTGAATACCGTTGAGTCACCTGATTTTTTCAGGTTCATGAGACAATTGCTTAAATTGTCAAACAAAGTGCTAAGATTATATCTACATTTCATTTCAAACACCGCACTGCATAAAACATCATACGACATTCCTTTCACGAGAAAACATAAACCCAACAAAATTGACCTGCTCACCACTGTCTGACTTCATAGCTTAGTTGGTCAGAGCACTGCACCGGCACCGCAGACGTCATGGGTATGAATTCCTTTGAGTCACCTGCATTTTGCATGTTCATGAGACAATTGCTTAGGTTGTGCAAAAAAGTGCGAAGATCATATCTACATTTCATAACACACTTTTTTTCGGTGTTTAGATATAACATATTGCAAGTGTATTCAGGATTATTAATGATTTCTTTCTTTTATTCTTAGCTTTTTCTTGGTGGGACGTCCTCTCTTTTTATACGTTCTGTAACATCTATCAGTTGTCTTTTTTCATATGCAATCGGTTGTATTCTTAGGAGGACTTGTAAAAACTTGATTGTGATGAGGAAATACATGATCTTCATTCGTAAATTACTAGGAGGACTTGTAAATACTTGATCTTGATTCATTTGTTCAGGTTGATTAAATGCAACGTCTCCCAGTTCTCTAAAAATAGTACGCAGTGTGGGGACATTGTAATTCATGAGAGAATTGTACGTGCTTGATAAAACGATACTTGCGTTTGATAATGGAGACATGATATTCATAACAATTAAAGATGTATCTTTTTTTGGAGAATTTTTTGATGAATTAACAAAGTTTTTAATTGTCGTCTTTTTTATCGTAAAATGCGGTTCTTTTGACATTTTCCGACTCTTTTGCCTTCACTGTTTGCTTTTACCGCTTTCACTGCTTTCGCGAGAAGTGTATGCTGCAAGTGAAGTAGATGAAATAAATGCTTGGATTTTATAGATTAAATTTTTGCGGAAATATAACCCTGTGACCTTACAAAATTACTTTTTTGTGTTCATTTAAATCAAATACCTTAAATCTTGCGATTTTTGTCATAACGCAAACCATATGAAATATTAAGTACATTAAAGTGATGGGAAAAAAAATTGCATATAAATTTTATAACAAAACACATACTTTCGATTTTGTTGAAGTTAGTAGTGTTAGATTCCATCATCCATGTTTATTTAAGATAATTGTCTAATAGATGTGATGACAGCAAGCTGATTTTGTTTGAGTTTTTAGTCTTCTCTAAAATTTACACAATTCTGTTTTGAATTTAAGTGTGATTCCATACAATAAAACTTGCAAAATTTGTCATAATACAATCCGCAATGATGTTTAATGAAAAACAGATTTCTTTAGTTATAATACAGTACATTAGGTACCCACATATAAAGTATAGTAGTTGAGGGTTAACCAGCCACGGATATTGAAGATAATTGTTTAATACATGTGAGAACAGCAAATCGATTTTGTTTGAGTTATTATTACTGTTGTCTAAAATTTACACAATTCTGTTATGAGTTTAGTTGTGATTCTATACATTAAAATTTGCGGGTTTTTTCATGACACAAACACATTGATTATTAAATACATTAAACTGGTTAAAACAATTTTCGCATCTAGGTTTTAATACAAAATTCCTATATTCGATTTTGTTGAAGTCAGTTTCAGATTGCACCAGCCGAATGTATTGAGGATAGTTGATTAATGGCTGTGATGAAAGCATACGGATTTTGTTTGAGATATTATTTGTATTCTCTCAAATTAACACAATTCTGTTTTCAATTTAAGTGTAATTTTATGTATTAAAACTTGCGATTTTTGTCATAACACAAACCGCTTTAATAAATAAATACATTAAAGTGGTGAAAACAATTTTGGCATTTGGGTTTTAATACAAAACTCATATTTTCGATTTTGTTGAGGCAGTGTCACATAGTACCAACCAAGGGTATTGAAAATAATTTTTTTAAAAGATGTGATTACATCAATCGCGTTTCGGTTAAACTATTATTAGTGCACTGGAATGTTTAAAGTAAGTAGCAAAAAAGGCCCAGTGCATCGAGATGTAGATACGAACGTTCAAGGCGAAACGAAAACGAGGGGTATTTTGTTGTAACGAGAGTATTTCAGAACGTGCAAATATCACAATTTCATTAAAGTTTCTCAAGCTCCGCGAAATTTTTTTGTTGGAAATCGTTAGCAATCTTCTTAAATGTCATTTACCACTCGCTATTTGTTTCGAAATATTGTTGAGAAAAGGCGTTTACAGGTAAGATATTAATACTATTTTCATTTTATTTACGAAGTATGTTTTAAATATGTCAGACAATTAATTGTGAAATTATTTCATGGAAAAAATTTATAGATGATCACACGGCATAGAAAGCGAGTAAGAGATCTTTTAAAAGAGTATTCATATTATTTCTTTTGAAAATTTGTTTGAAGGATGGGAATACATTATAAAGTCTTATTTTAAAGACGTTTAACAATTACCCGGAAAATTTTTAATATGCATGCAAAAAGAATATATTATCAAAGTAAAATGACACGAAAAGAATTTCAATGATATTAAAGATCTTAAAATAGTGTTAAATATTTTTATTTGCATAATCCAAAAAATGAGACCAAGGGTTTTAAAAAAGTATAAGGTAATTTATGTTAATGTTTTTATTTGTAGAAAAAATTATGAGTTGTTTAAAAAAAACAAAGTTTCGAGCATATCTAAAGAGCTCTGCGATGGTAAATTTCAGAGCTATGAGAAAGGTGTAACTATTGTGTGAGATTCAAGTTAACGTTTGCAAAATTAATTTTGGATTATATCGAGGCTGATTTTTTTTATATTATTCATTAAAAGATACAAAGGAATATTATTTTCAAATTAAAGACGAATTTCTATTAAAAAAAATGAATGCTGAAAAGTGAACTGTAATTTATTAAATACCGCCCGATTGTTGGATAAATTGTATACTCGTTTAAAAATCGATAGTGATAATGATACTGAATACGAAAAAGAATAGGATAAGGATATAACTGATTTAATTTACAAGAAAGGCAAGAAACAAAAAAAAACCGAGAAAAAAGTTTTTAAACAAATAAAATAAATAAAAATATTTTCTCATTTTTTATTACTTATTTTTTGGAAATCAGTTGATGGAAACATTATATCAAAATCATGTGCCGTAATAGTATGAATTGGATATCGTTTTTTATCGTGTTGGACATATTTGTGGACTTGATTGCAATTTTTACTACAAACAACACAATCCTAGAGTTGATATTAACTCTAAATAAAAAATGTATATAAATAAATTTGCTATTAAATATCGATTGCTTCATTTTTTAATAGTTTATTTTTTATTCTTTTGTTTATAATTTTTTGCATATAAAGGGACAAAAAATTATAAAAAGAATAGAAGTAAATTGATACTTTTTTTGTAGATTATATGACAGAAAAGTAATGTCCAGAAATTGAACATATTTGATATTTAACGAATTATTTTATAAATTCCTTTTTGATCTTAATGATAAGGGATTTATAGTGTATTTTACATTTTAATTAATGTAAATAAAAAAGTAATTTATAATTTTTTAATAGAAAATAAAATTTATATTGATTATTTACGAATTTTTATACTTCAAATTGTAATAATAGTTATTTATTTAAAAAAATGGATTTGATAAATATGAATTATTTTTAGTAAGCTGTAATGATAACTAATGGAATGAGTTATTAAAATACAAGTTTTCTATTTTTTCTATTTTAATTCATCATTGTCTTTAAATATCCACAACCCTTTTTTTTTTATTTTTTAATGACCCTCTTATAAAATAATTTCTTCTTTTTCTTTTTCTTTTAGACATTTTAGTTTTTTTCAAATCTGCATTTTCTTAAGCGAAATAATAATCATTCCCTTATTCACTTATCATTTAATAACTTTATTAATAATTCCACGGGCCACAACTAAAACAATTCATTTTTATGCCAATGCTGCTAGTCCCCCACTAATTCCTCCCTGTTGGTGTTTTTTTCGATATTTTTTTTCTAATTCTTTTTTTCTTTCATCAATTTTTTTATTTCTATTTTTAAAAAAGAATAAATAAATAAATAAACAAATAGTAAGACAATTAAATAAATATATGCATGAAAACCGACATCTGTTTATTTATGCAAAATTAGTAGAATTGAGCTAGTATATATATATATATATATATATATATACAAAGTGTATAACAATGTGCCCTCCCGGCTATCAAAATATTAAAATGGTGACTCCTGCACTTGGGACACAGGACGTACGGTTACACATTGTATGGATTGTATTAGTGACCTTAAGATTTGACGACGCGCTCATCTACAACGCGAGCGGAAATGAATTTTAAACCAATGCGCATGTGCGTGCGTCGTTGAGTTTTGTCGTGCTTCTACTACGTGGCGTCTTTGCTTAATCCCACGTCGTCCTACATTGAAGGTGGAATTTTTCACAAAAAAAGTTTTAAAGTAAGTATTCAGCTTTTAATTCACCTGTTACAATTGTCTGTGGAGTCTGGTATGTGATTGATGTGTTGATATTTATCTGTGAGTAAAATATGTTTACATTTTTGCTTTTAGCAAGGCAAGAAAATGGCAGAACAGTTTTCATCAGCATCAAGTGATTGCTCATCAAGTACACCACGAAATTCACCGTGAGTTAAATTAATTGTTTAGCTAAATCAACATCCAGTGGCTTTGAAATTTTTCTTATATTGTAATAACGGTTTGTGTTCTCCTTTTATGTTTGAGTAAACATACTATGCAACGAGTACTCATATATCAATTAAGGCTAGTATATATTTCTAAATTGTTTTAGAATCAGTTTTGTTATGAAGTGGACAGCAAAGCATGATGTCGAACTGTGCAAAGAAGTTGTCGTGTCAAGACTTTTTGAAGCAAGAAAAAATCCCTTGAAAGAGAAAAGGTGTGGGAAGCCATTGCTAAGAAGTTGGAGCAACATGACCACCTTTGCTTTCGTGTTGACCAGCGTGCAGTAAGAGACAGAGTACGAAAATTGCATGCAAACTATTGCAAGAAAGAAAGGGGAGAAATAAATGCAAGTGTCATTTCTCCAGAAGCAACTGAGCTGGATGATTTACTTGAAAAAATTCATGGTAGAGAAAAAGCTAGTGATGTTGTTGCTGCTGAGGCTACAGCTGTTGAAAGAAGAAAAAATAATGCAGACAAAGAAGCAGCAGAGGAGATAAGGAGAAGGGCTATGGAAAACGTATCCCAAACCAGGAAGCGAAAGGAAAGCGAGCAAGGTGGTGCTAGAAAAAAAGTCAGGAAAGGAGGAGATTCTACTTTAGAGTTTCTAAGAGAAAAGGGGGAGAAAGAAAGAAAATTAAGAGAGGAAAGCTTAAAATTGGAAAGAGAGAAAATAGAAATGCAAAGGCTGCAAATACAGAATGAGAAAGAAAGCCAACAGCAATTCATGGAGAAACAAAATCAGTTGCTGCAAAACATGATTGAATTGCAAAGGCAACAAAACCAGCAAGTTCAAGCAAATCAAATGTTACTGGTTCAACAACAGCAATAACTATCCCAAGCCCTAGTACCTCTTTTATCAAAAATTGCTGAAAAATAAACTAATCGTGTTTTTTTAACAAAAATTTCAGACAAATAAAATAATTTGCAATTATAATGTATGAGAAACAAGAAATATTCAAAAAAAATTATGAGAAATACGTTTGAAGAGAGGGTGGCTCCAACTGAAAAAGTCACTTGTCATATTTAATTGAAGACAAGTTAGAGCATTTCTAAGCAGTGATGCAACTATATACATTTTGCCCACAGAACTTAAGCTAATTTTTAGATTCTTCTTAAGTAGTATAGTACATGGGGGTACGAGAGCACAAAAAGTGCTCTCATATCCCCCATGTATTATACTACTTTTATACCATGGGTAAAAACTATCTTTAACAAACAATTGGTTTCAAAGGGGGGTAAAAATCTCGAGGTTACAATCTATCGTTTAAAAATATGGAATCTATATGTTTTAAAAACTATCTTTAGAAATAAATGCTAAGAAAGCATCGGTTCGGAGGAAATTCGGCAGCATAGAGCATGATGTGAATATTACGAAGTTTAATACTCAAAAAAGTTAATACGAAGTTTAATACTCATAGTTTAAAATCCATGCTCGAGCAGGGGAATGGAATTTCCGAGAATCCTGAGACCCCGGTGGGGAAAATTTTTACGAAGTGAAAACTCGGGGTCTAAAGTGGCATTCGATGAATTCGAAGAATTCGAGAATAACAGAGGATTAATATATGCTCTTTTACAATCTATCGTTTAAAAATATGGAATCTATATGTTTTTGAAATATATAGGTGCGTTTAAATTTTAAAAACCGTCTTTAAGAATTAATTGTTAATAAAGCATCGGTTCGGAGGAAATTCAGCAGCACAGAGAATGATGTGAATATTACGAAGTAATATTTACTCCATGCTCGAGCAGGGGAATGGAATTTCCGAGAATCCTGAGACCCCGGTGGGAAAAATTTTCACGAAGTGAAAATTCGGGGTCTAAAGTGGCATTCGATGAATTCGAAGAATTTGAGAATAACAGAGGATTAATATATGCTCTTTTACAATCTAGCGTTTAAAAATATGGGATCTATATGTTTTTTAATTTGTCTGTTAAGCGCGTGTCTTAGTGCATGTTTTTAATAATGGTTGTTTAATGTAGCTAGCACATGTCACCAGCGCATTTTAATAATCAAGTGTTAATAATCAAGTGTTATTAAAATATCAGTAGCAGCGCGCTTTATAGTCTATTTGGTATATTGGATAAACTAGTGGCTTTTAACAATGGTCTTAAAACCCAGCGCGTGGTAGAAATATTCTTTAATAATCAAGTGTTAATAAAGCATATTTTTAAATCGTTGTCTCGGGGCGAAGAATTTCAGGCAACTAAGCCTGAAATTTTGAGCGCAACAATGTCATAGATGCTCTTTACAAAATATGGAATCTATATGTTTTTTAATTTGTCTGTCAGGTGCGTGTCACATGTAAATGTTTAACAATGTTTTATATAATTTTTGTTAAAAGTGTTTTTACTAATTGTTTCAGGATTTTGAATCTTTTTGTATATCGCTTTTGTATTAATTGCTATATTACTCAAACAGGGCTACATGCTTACTACACATTATAATTGTTTGTTAATATTTAGTTATTTGAACCGATATTATAATGACCATAAGCTAATGTTGTTACACCATCATCTAATATATATCGTTTATCATCAAAACAGCTGAGTGATACTTTATTAATTTCATAACTACTAAGTTGATGGTTTACACTTCTAATAGTTTTCATTGTATGATGCATTTGTTTGTTTTCAAATAGTGTTGTTTTATAGTCTTCATGTTTTATTTCACTCTTAATAATATTTTTCTTAAATCCTTTACATTTTTTATCTACTTTATTATTATCTTTAATATAACTGTACATTTTACTTCGTAACCCAACAAATTCAGTAATTGAGATTACAGAGGCTTCGTCTTTAAATTTACCAATGACTTTTTTATTAGTTTTATCATGATATTTATGGTATTCTGGGTAATCACTAAAATCAAATTTATCTTTATCAACCCAAAAATCTTTATAGACGTCTTCAGTTTCGATTTCATATGTTAAACTATCTGTGTCTGTGAAAAGAAGTTTAGCTTTATCACCATACTGCTTTTTGATATGGTTGTAATGAAAATCATACATAAGAACTTTACTCAAATCTAACATACACATGCCAACATATGCAGGCCTATTAAGGGTTAGTGTTTCTTTTATTTTATGCACAGCTACTAAATTTTCATTAAAGATCTTTGAACTTACATAAGTAGGTTTTGAAGCTAATTTTAATAATTTATTTTTATTAGTTACTAGTCTAACATCTATTCGTTTTCGTAAGTTTTCCATGGTTTTACCGAATACCGAATTATTCATTAATTTGTAGAAGTCTTTTTCAAAAGAATTTTTTGCATTAGTTCTTTTTTGAGTATTAAAGTCTATATATTTTTTCAACCATGGAGATTGATTAAATTCAAGTACTCTATGTACTTTTTTTAACTTTAACCCAAGATCTAAGTATAATTGAAGATTTCTATAATGTAAAACGTATTTGTATTTATTTTTTAAAGTCGGAATCAGTTTGCTTACTAATCCTGTTGATATATTGTAATTAGAAGCAATTGTCTTACAATATTTTGACAGCATGTTGCTAGTTACCTTAACTTTTTCTGGTGCAACAGGATAATCGTTATGTAAATCATGTAGTTCTTTATTGTATTCTAAATCAACTTCTAACATTAAACCTTTTTTTGCTATCTGCTTGATATTCAGCAAGGTTTATGTTGTTAATCTGTTTACCAGTTAACCATTTGAAATTACCAGTAGGTAAGTTTTGTGACATAGCCCACCCATACAGATTTTTTGCATCTAAATACGTTAAATACTTCGATGGCTTATTATTATCATAAGATGATTGATATTTGTTATTAGCTTTTTCATATCGATTAGCAATATAACTAACGCCTCCTCTCATACCCTTTTCAATGAATTGAAACATATCAATATATGTCATTAATTCTAATTTAATATCGGTCATCTTCAACATAGCATCCCACGACAACCCTGGTGATGTGAAATAGTGGCATGGGTCTAATTTATAGTATTCTAAGCATGTTTTTCGAAAGTTTTCAAATACATCATTAATAGAAGGATATCAGATTTCAGATACAGGTCGTGATACTCACCCATGTTTTTAAGATTGAATGTATTCCACACTTTTTGTGCATGATGGTATTGTTCATCTGATATATTCTCAGCAGTAAGAATACTATGAAAGTCTTTTTTTGAAGGCAACCCCACATCAAACTTTTCAAAGCTTTCCATATAATCATATGGGTATTCACCTTTTTTAGTCATTAAATTAAATTTTTCACCTTGAAACTGCTTAGAGGTATATTTTAATGAATCTTTAGGTAAATTACTAACAAGCTTTTCAAGACTAGAGCTCATAAATTGAAAACTATCAATGAAAGTAAGATGGTTACCTAACATAAAAGCCATATATTTTTCCATGTTATTTGGTATAGCATTTATATTCATCTGTGTTTCTTCACCTTTTTTGTTTCTATATGTATGGTTTTTAACAATAGCTCCGATTTCTTGCATAATAAAATGGCTGTCATACCCACGCAGATTGTGAAATATTACTGGTATCTTTAATTTATCAGAGTCTATTCTAAGTTTTAAATTACAATCTTGATGTGCGGAGCCTCTGTATTTACCAGTGATGTGACAATGGTCTCGAACTCGAATATCTTTGTTAGTATATTTTTTGTTACAGATATGACATTCATCAGCTTTTTTAAATTCTTCTTCATCATCAGAGGTCATTTTTAATGGTTTATTAAATAGGTTTTCATAATATTCTTACAATATTTAACTTCTTTTAACATAGCTTCCATAAATTTGTAAACAGCCTTTTCACCTCTATATATTTGAATTTTTTTCGTGAATTTATCATCATAACAACAAACAACTTTATATCCATAGCCACAGTCTGTGTGCTTCTGATAGGCTTCAGTGAATGATTTTTTATTATTCTGATTACAACCAGATATCTTTTCTGTAATAGCCTCAAAGTCAGCATATATAACAAATGGTATTGGTTGTTGCTTATGATAGTTGTTGAATTTAAGTATGTTATTATTTTTATCAGGCATTCTTACTGATTGTATACCATTTATTAGTATACAGTTTTCTATATGGTTATTTAATATTTTTTCAGAACTAAAACATTGAAGACATCTCATACAAAAATGTTTTCTTTCTTTATGTTTAGTTTGATTGTACATAAATTTATTAAAATCTTTTATTAATACATAATGTTTGTTTTCATTATCAGTTATCAATAGTAGTTCCATATGGTCTTCAAATTTTTTATTTGAAATGAATAATGGGTATGGTTGTTTATCTTCATAACCGAAAACGTTAATGTTAATTCTGTTCACGCTTGGCATTTTTGTGCGCAAAATTAGAGAACTAGAATGTGCCAAATTTTATTGCCGGCGCGCGACATTTTTCGAAGCTTGGTAACGAATTTATCGAACAGCAAATTCCTTATTTTTGTCGATGATTTTCCAGCAAAAGTTTTCCTTGAGCTACTTGGGAACACAAGAGTGTTATAGAGGATAACTAGAGGATCATTTTGATATCTCGTTTGCTATGGTTACACATATAGTTTTTCAACAGACGAGCTTGTTGCTCGAGGGTTTTTGGCGAAATGGCGTCGGTTGGCGAAATTTGATAATTTACTCTAACTTCGGCTTGTATAGGTTTCTTTATCCGATCATTCGTTTGTTTAAATTTTGGTTATTTGGTAAAATAAATAGTCTTCTTACAATCGTATGTTTTTTGTTTTGAAGAAAATGGGATAATTTAGCGTCAATCATGCCGTTCCGCAAGGCAACGAATTACAAACGATTCAATTTTGGGGAATACATGCGCAACAAAAGATTGGCAAGGGAAGGAAATATGAGCAAGCAAAAGAAAGCAAAATGTGTGTCTAAGAAACTTAAAAGTCTTGATGATAAGGTAAAAAATGTTTAGTAGTTTTATTTGAAATGATCTTTGCTTACTCGATCTTTTCTTATGTCAATAAGTCAATAACATATGCAATATTTTGACATGATGTGTCAAATTTTTGTATTGATAGGCTTTTTTTTAATGAAAGATTGTTTTATACAGAATCGACATATTTAGCACAAGGCGTATTACTATTTCAGTTTAATTGTATTTTAATTAGTGAACTGTTTGTGCTTGTATTTTATATCAGAATATGTATGCCATTTTTTGCTGGAACTGTATTCATAAATTTTACAGGTAAAAGAAATTGGTGAATGAAGTAGAAGAGTTAGATAGCATCAGGACAGAGTTCATTGAAGGTGGAAGTAGGCAGGAGGAACAAGAGGAGAAAGTTTTAGCATAGGCAGGAAGGGCAGTTGTTTGAAAGAAACAAACCAACTGGGCAGGCTGGTGTAGGTCCACTGGTCGAACACGCAGGATGGAACTATGTTGGCAGCTAATGCCATTCATGGAGGTAATAAAGATGATACAAAGCCTGGTGCCATTGGAATGTTGGAACATTAGAAAATAAGTGCAAAGTGGGTGATATAGTAAAAGTTAGAAAAGTGCAGTAAGTTTAAGAGCAAGGTTTTCCAAAAATTTACAAAGAAGATTTGAAGAAGTTCGAAAGATCAGATGAGAATATGTTAAGATCGATTGCTGTGTATTATAGCAAAGGAGTTATGGGCAAAGAAAAGTATAGAAGAGTTTATAAGGCAGCTCATATGAGCAGATATGTGGTAGTAAGGGCTAAACGTGTTAGTGTTGCTAAATGTCCCACCCTCGGCTGGTTCCTATGATAGATTAATGCAATACATTAAATCTATTGATATTGGTAAGTTATTTAGTATTCGTGAACATCTGTGCAATGGGTTGATGAGTGTGAGAAGGTCAATGGTTTTACAGAGATATAGAAGATATTCTTGTTAAGCTTGCAGAATTTTATTTGAACATTGGTAAGTATAAACTTTTCAACTTTAATCAGCCAAACTCATTTCATGTTGCTATTGGTGGAGATGGGGCCCCTTGGAAGAGATGATTCAGAATGCTCTTGGCTGGTAGTTTTCTAAAATTGGACATGGCATGGCCGCAATGAAAATTTCCTGCTCTTGGGGCTAATTGTTCAGAGAACTGTCTCCTGTAATTGCTTATAGCAATCATTCTACAAAAACAATTATTTAACAATTGCTTTTTGATTGGCATTTATACTTTTTGTGATTTGTTACAAAGCAAAATAATTTTATGTACAAGCTGAATGAAGACAAAGATATTAAAATAAGTATATTGTTTGGGTAAGTTGTAGTATTGTAATTGTATATATATAATGTAACAAAACTATTTAGTCTTTTATCACGTTTGGACAAGTATAATCTGTGCAACATAATCTTACCAGAATATGTACATGTTAGAGCATGCAAGCTTGACATGTGCATACAATCAAATTTGCATATATTATACTTATCTGAATTTTACATTGACTGATATTTGTGTAGTTTAACTAATTTTAAAACCTTTGTCAACTTTAATAAAACTCAGAAGAAGCAGAGTGTGGTGTCCTCATTGAAAAATTTATGTCTAGTAGTATTGCAGTATTGCTAGTTTACCCTATTTTGGTTTTAAAGCAGGCAATGCAACAATTACCAAAGCTAATAAATGGCTCAGTTGTTAGTCAGGTTTCAACTTTTTTATTTGAAATAAATTTAAAAGGTATTTGTAGATCTCTTTGTTTTTAGAGGATGACATGAATTAGGTTGATTTTTCATACTTTTTCTTAATTTTTGAATGAGTTGCTTCTTTTATGTTTGGCAAATTTTATGTTTGTTTGTCCTATGTACAAAATAAGAAACTGGAGGCTCATCATTGAATAAACAAAGTCTTTCACCTGGGTTACATTAACTGCTGTTTGACTGCCACGTCCGCTAAAACTTCGCCTTAGGTAAGCAGCAACATCTTCCTGGACAAGCCAGACAACAAAACAAGCAACTCATTCAAAAGGCGCATGGAGTGAAGGATATCACCTCAGCCTTCTTGTTTTTAACCTGGTAACAAAGAAAGCCACAAAACTATCCAAAGTGCGAACAGTACGCATGGTATGGTAGCAAAAAGCATGCAGGAGTAACCCTCGTAATTTCCCCCATAATGGGTTTCTGATGCCTTTTTGCCACCAAGTCGTCGATGATTCCCATAGCCAAATTCGTGACTCCTCTTTTAAGAGCTTAGCTGGATTGATAGAAAGTCCATCAATCTCAGCGAACTATTGTTGTGTGTGAAATCGACCTCTGCAAGTTGAAGCGTATCTTGCACTTGCCCAACACCGCTTTGAGACAATTTCCACATTTTCGCATTGCATGTCTTGCAATGCGAAAATTCTCTTCAACTTGTTAAGGAGGAAGGTGGCTGTTGAACGGCGCTGTTGTATATGTCTTCTTGATGTAATTTTCTTCTGCTGAAAATCACACATTAGAAACAGCCGCCATCTTCATTAATTAATTATTTTAATCAAGTATTTTGTGCAAAAACCGCTGGACACAATGACTTACAAACTAGCGTTTTGGCATGCAAAAATGCCAGGCGTGGTTTTGCTTTTCGATTTTATTATAATGTTTAACAGTCACTGGAAATTCAATCCCAGAGTAGTCTAATTTGTTAATGTATTCCTTATCAGATTTTTTATTCGTTGTGGGGTATTATTTTGCGGGTTAATATGTCTAATATGACACCATCTAAAGCATTCATTATCTATTTTGATATTAATTAATCCTTTTTACTATTTTTAAGTTCTTGTGGTAAATTAATGTATGAACTCCTTTAAGTGGTTTATATATTGCAACATTAACATAATGGTTATCTACAGAGCGTATAACCCATGATGAAGATTCTTGAGTAAATTATCAATCTTATTTAATATATTTTGTTTGAAATTTGTAGGATTCATTGATTTCATTAGAATTAGTAATTGTTAAAGCTGGACTGTTGAAATAAGCATTTTTTGTTAAATAACCAGCAGTACCGCCATCTTTTATTTCAAATTTTTCAAATGTTATTTTAACAGTTTCAATATATTTAAGTGCTTTCATTGATGTTAATATTTCTTTAATATAATATGTAAGATACTTTCTAGTGTTCTGTAATTGTTTCAATGGATCTTTATTGTTAATAATGATTATTTCATATGACTTTGTATAACCTTTAAGAGCATTGTTTGTTTCTCTTATTTTAACTCTTGGTGTTGGTATTGGTTTTTTATTTTTATCTGATATCATCTGTGTAATGTTCTCATACTCTTTAATCATATCTTTTACACTCTTTCTTGGTTTTGGGATTGGTGTTAATACTTTGATTAATTCGTTTTTTCTAAGTTTATAATAACCTTTAACCTTTTTTTCTTTAGCAATAACTTTTTACTGAGGTACAGTCATTTGTTTGATATTGGATTGTGATAGTACTTTTTGTACTGGTTTGGAAATTAAAGTATTATTAACTTCAACCTTAGGCTTTTGATTTAATATTATATTAATTAAATCATTTCTAGTCAACTTTTGGAGCGCATTTCTATTCATCTTATGCATATTATATAATATAGGTTTGTCTTTAAGTACCTTTCGATTTAAATAATCTCTATTCATATATACTAATACTATATATATTACTTTTTTAAGTGTCTTTAAGGTGCGTTTAAATAATTAAATTCAAATAATACAAATAAATTGTACTATTTATTTTTTTTTTAAATATTCTCTTAATTTAGCTTTAGTTTTTATTGTGTTGGGTAACATTCCTGGTTCAAGACCGAAATACCATGGTATGAAACCCTTCTCGTGTATCCAGATCATTTTGTTTAATTGTTTTCTAATAATTGGGTCATCAAGAGCTTCTTTTACTGTTCTATCGTAATAATACAATAATTCTCTTTTTTGATTATCAGGTTTAAATCTTAATAATCTTAATTTTTTATTATGTTCAACTAATTTTAGATCATATTCAATTGCTTCAGATATTAAAGTATGTTTAAATGTTTCAAAATCTTTACATTTTTCATAACCCGGTTGATCAGGATCATAATGTTTTAATTTTGTTGGTAAAGCATCAATTAATATATATACATCAAATTTAGATAATAAATTATCATCTAAAATCAAATAACCACAGGCCCGAAATGACATAATGATATTTTATTATTACTCATTTCAATGTTATTAATATCATCTTTTGTCTTTAAGTCTTTTAAGTTTTTTCTATTTTCTATCATATATATAATTTATATATATTTCTTTAAGTATATTTAAACGCACTAATTTTAATTATAGAAATAAATCTATATTTAAAACTTTTTATAAAAACTATATTATTTTTTATTTTTTTGAATTTCGAACATGTTTTTTTGTCCGAAGATGTAAAGTTTTATATGCTAAACTATATGTTTTATTACATGAATCACAATGCCATGGTTTTGAGAGCATATATGATGTCCTATGTTGTTTGATTTGTTCTTTAGTATAAATTTTTGGTCTTCCTCGTATTGGTTTATCTGAACACATATATACTAATACTATATATTTTATTTTTAAATAGTTATTTAATGCGTTTGAGATAAATTTTAAAAATTCCATTAGCACTTGAATGATTACAATATTCATATAAATCAAATTTTATAACATAAACATCTTTATCTATATTGTTAATGTCATACTTAAAATAACAATCATCCCATCCATGATATTTATTAAACAGAGCTTTAGTGATATGTGTAAATTGTGGTATATAAAAATCACTACTAATAGTCTTTATATTAGATGGTTTAAATATATTTAGTATAATCGGTTCATAATCAATATTCATTGTACACATTATATGTAAAATTTTTTTTATATTATCAACATTATATCTATTTTTTGAAAAAGATAACCAGTCATCTGTATGCAACTCTTATTCTTTATATTTAACCTGATCTTCTTTATAATGAAGCTCGTAAGTTAATGATTTAATATACATGTTTTTTTCTTCCATTAATATATTTAATAAACCTAAATTAATTTCATGTCCTTTAAATTTATACACATCTTTGTTTTTTATAACTTTCACCATTCTATATAATTACTATATATTTTATTTTTTTTATGGAGCGTTTTTATTATCCTTTGTTTTATACAATGCTTTTTTCAAAATCCTTCAAAGTATCTTCTATATTAGAACTAGTTTTTTTACAACATAAAATAAAATCTCTGATCCTTTTTAATAAAACTTTAAGATTCATATATAATAGTAAATTTTTTATTTCTTTGACTCCATCCAATTTTTATAATAAGTACAATCAAAATCAATATCCCACTCAAGAATTTTATATACTTCACCGAATAATCTATCATCGAAAATCCGTTTTGTCTTACTATTTTTCATATCTCTAACAGGGTGTTTTAATGGTATACCCCTCCTACTAGCTAAACGTATAATATAATAGTTATACATACTAACATTTTTTTTATTAATTAATTTATGTTTAATCATAGTACAAACAACCTTTATAAAATCATTTGTAATCATCTCAACATATTCAAAAGTTACACACAATCTAATTTTATTACTAAACCATTTTTTCCTTGAATGAACTGATTTTTGACACTTCCAAATCTCTGGTATCCATTCATTAATTATATTATATGAGTGAACAGAACCGCAGTGTATACAAACATTCATTTTATTGTTATCTGAAATAATTTCTTGATTTTCGCAACATAAGTATGTCTTAGCAGATCTATTAATATAACTATCACATATCTTTTATCACAAAAGCAACAATTTACGCATAACCAAAAACTCTTCTAACTCTTTATGAATCAATTTATTACAATACATATAATATAATATAATATATATCTTTAAGTAGTTTTATATAATAAATATCCAGATGTAATACCAAGCACTACCATTGTACCAGATTGATAATTTTTCATATTCTTAGATGGTTTGTAAAAGTCATTTAATTGTGGTTCTCTATGAAATGTTAGTCCGTTGTAATGTATAGTTTTTATTTTCTAAGCGCATCTAAAGCTCTATTAGTCAGTTCTATATCATCATCAGCATATTGAAGTTCTTGTCTTAGCTGTTGAATTTTATCATGCTGCTTGACTTCATTTTCATAGAATGCCTCTTTAGCTCTTTGTAGTTTTCTAGAGCTCATGGTATCTTTTCATTTCTCAGCGTAACCGTTTTATCAAGTTTATGAAATAGCCAGCCCTGCCTGAAAAGGCGAAACTCCAAGCTGTTCTGTCCACTAGTAATAACACTTGTCATATATATTTATACAGATTTAACTGGATTTTCAGGAATCCATTTTTTCTCTTGAGCATATTTAACTAGCATTGTTGATGCTGTAACAGCAACAACCAGTTTAGCAAAATCTTTGATACTGTTTGTGTCTGTTAATTTTTGACCTAGTAGTTTTTTAGACGCCATAGAAAGACCTACAGCAGTTGTTGTCACAAGCACTGCATCAAAAGCTTCATTCATAAATTGTTTCTTAGTCATAGTATTACTCATATATAATAGGAAATATTTTATTCAAATGAGTCTAAATTATATTGTTTATTTTTTTGTATCAAAACATGTTTTTCACTAGTTGTTTCTTCTCTAGCTTTATCGTTTGTTAATTTTTCCTTCCTTTTATCATTTTTCCTTGTATAATAGAGACTAGCAAAAGCAATTAATACTCCAATAGTTCCAAACAAAAATCCGTAATTAATGTTCCAGCTATAATCCTCAATTTTTTTTTTATTTTCTAATTCAATCCTATCTTGCATCTTTTTTTCTTTAGCAGCTTTCGATATAGCAGCCAAGCGTTTCCCAGCTTCAACTCTAAGAGGGTCTTTCTCTTTCTTAACTGTAGTTATCTTTACGTTTTCTTCAGACATGTTATATAATACTGTAGATTTTGTTCACAGATAACTCACAGATAATCTTATAGATAACTTACAGATAACTCACAGATCTTTATATTTTTTGTTATATTTACTCACCAGCCTATCTATAGTAGTACAATTGTCTATTATAATATCATCGATAACTTTTATGTCTGAAAGAAATATCACTTGATCATAAGCTAATCCTCTTAAATATGATCTTATATCCATAAGTATTTTTTCATATGATGTATATGCAAATTTACACATTTCTAAGTTATTATTAATCTTACTCCTAACCATATAACCTTGAACTAAAGCACCTATACCATTCAAGCTGGCTATAACTATCGGGTTGACGGTTATACTACCTACAATACCAGCAGTCGAGACTAGAAAAATACTTCCCATGTTTAATGATAGTCTAATTTTCTTTAATTTATTATACTTCCATTTATAACAGGTATACATCTTGTGATAGTATAAATACAACTTTTTAAGCATTTCAAATTCCTCATTACTCAACTCACTTGAAATATGATTAAAATCTAGAACTTTTTTCATATTATATTATAAAACATATTTAACTAATATGAATGATGATAGCGTTGATATACCAAGTAAAGTAATCATATCTGTTTGATGGGGATTATTTACTATCATTTTTGTATGTTTATGTAATAATGGTTTTTTATGCACTTCGTCAAGAGTATCTAGGTGTTGTAAGGGTGTTATATCTTGATGTACTTTTTTTAGTTCTTCCTTTTTAACTCCATAATAATTTTTTTTAGAATTAATACCGAATTTCATAGTTTTATTCGTTAATGTTAAAATATTATTATACCCATAAATCTTTTTATTCAATATGATCATACGGCTGGGTATTAAAATCATACCAGGGCTGATTGCCATATTTAAAATAACATTCGTGTCTTTTATACTCTTTCTTATGTTAGATATCAATACAGTCGTATCATTCTGTACTATAGTATCCTCTACTAATTTCCTAAAAACATTTTGAGTTTGCATGCTCTTAGCTTCATGATTAACTATTGGCCATCTTGTATCAGCCTGGCTATCTAGAACTGAATAAACAAAACTTTCAATGCTCTCTTGCAAAAGAGCTTTTCCGATTTGTGTAATCCCTTCAGAATGATATGCAATGAAGCTCTTATAATCAGTAGTTGAATATTGAAAATTAACAAAATAACCAACACCATCTTTATTGAATTTTAAAATACCTTTAAAAGGTATATGCTTTTTCAATTCCGTAAAGTCATATTTATCTATCTAATAACATTTGGGATCTGATAATACAAATGATATTTGGTGTTTTGACATAACTTTGAATATTTCGCTTAAAACTGATTGGCCATAACCTGCAACATAGCGTAGGGCGCTGCCTTCATTATCATGCGTATAACTTTCTTCTGTTCTTATATGGCTGATGCCTTATTATTGTAATTTACTGTTAATTTCACTTGCCACGGGCTGATAATAAACATAAAAATTAATTTCTCTGTGACATACAATCTGAAGTTACAGACATTTACCGGCCTTTGAAATGTAGGTTTTACAATAAACTTTGAGGACCATCGATGTAACATATGATCGAAATAATCCTCAAGCTGGCTACCTTCATCTCATGCAGCTGCTATGAGATTTGAAAACAAAGGTGTTTTAGTTGTTTCTAAATATATTTTTGGCCATGTTTGTATATGTTTTAAATTATCATCGCCTAATTTTATAGCATTTTCTTCTATTTGCTTGTTTGACATATAATATAAGCTATGTTATATATGAAAATGTTCACTATTTTTATTGACAGAGATTGACTTACAAGAAAGTATAGTAACATCTAACTATTCATATTTATATATCAAAAAAGCTCATGTGTATTGGGAATATAAAAATGTAAAATTAAATAATACTTTAGCTTTTACAATAGGCGCAACAAAATATAATATAGATGCTGGTTACTGGACTTTTAAAATGCTTAAAACGTTTTTTGAGTCTGTTAATGTAAAGCTTGAGATGGTAGAAAACAACGGAACTTGTAAAATAACTATAATAATGACGAGGTATTAGTATTGTCTGATACTCTTATTAAAATGATAGGTTTTAATGATACCATAAAAACTATTAAAAAAGGTATCGTACAAAATGGTGTTTCTAAAGTGTATATAAACAGAGGATTAAACTATATTCAGATTTCTTCTAATATTGTAAATTCAAGTTATAATTATAACCCTGAAGGAAAAAAAGTAATATAGCTTTAACTTCCAGTAGTAATAACAATTCAGTCGTTATTTGGCACTGTATACGAATACAACGATATTGAAAGTAAAGTTATAATGAGCCTTTAACGAGCTAATATTTAATATATTAGATCAAAATGGTGCTCCCAAAGATATGTACAGTATTCTTCTTGAATGTTATTATCTTGAGTAAGTTAAATGGATGAAGACATTAAAATTGAGCAAAGTTTAAGAGATATTTATTATGATCCGAAAACAGGGTATCAATCAGCAGAACGGCTGTATCAGAAAGCATTAGAAGAAGGTATAGATGTTAGTAGAAAACAGGTTAAAGAATGGTTAATATCTCAAGATACATACACATATAAACCTATTATTAGGACATAAATTCAGACAAACAAGGGTAAACTATCTTGGTGAACAAATACAAATGGATTTAGTTGATATGGGTTCTTATAAGTATAAAAACAATGGTTATTATTGGATATTAACAGCTATTGAAATATTAAGTAGATATGCATTTGCTACCCCTGTTTATAGGAAAGACACAAATAATATGACAAAAGCTGTTGCAAAACTATTAAGTCAATTTAAAGATAGATTTAATGATTACCCGAAACTAGCGCAATTTGATGATGGTAAAGAATTTTATAATGTAGGTGTGAAATCATTATTAGAGAAACATGGAATTAAGTACTTCTCTACAAAAAATAGTAAAAAAGCTTCTATTGTCGAACGATTTAACAGAACGCTTAAAACATCTACGTGGAAATATTTTTACAACAAAGGAACATATAAATGGATTGATATATTGGATGATTTAGTATATAATTATAACAATACAAAACACAGTACAATCTTGATGAAGCCTAAAGATATTAATAAAAATAATGAAGATGAAGTCTGGAATACATTATACGGTCATGAAGTTGCTTATTTACCATTACCTAAGATTAAAATTGGTGATATGGTTAGGATATCAAACTATAAATCTATATTTACGAAAGGTTATGAAGCAAATTTTACTGAAGAGCTTTTTAAAGTGGCTAAAGTTATTAGAGGAGATCCGAATTTATATGAGATAGAAGATGTAGAAGGAGAGCCTATAATTGGTAAATTTTATGAAGAGGAACTATCAGTTGTAGATAAGATGATGTTTATAGAGTTGAAAAGATATTAAAACGTAAGAAGGTTAAAGGTAAAAGATGGTTTTAGTTAAATGGTTTGGTTATGATAATAAACATAACAGTTGGATTTCTGAAAGTGACATACAAAATATAAAGTAATCTATATAATGGATGAAGGAGGTTTTGATTATATTGAATTAGAAGATAAGAAGAAAGAAGATAATAATAATGATAATGAAGATAATAACGATGAAATGAAGATTGGCAAAATTTTCAATTTATTGATGAAACATCATTTACTGACGATAATTATGGTGTAACAATAAAAAAAGACAAATAAAACTAATACTCTTCCTGATGTTCCTACTTCAACTCCTGTTTATACAGATATTATTAGACCAGAAAATGAAGTTTCTTTTGCTGTTGAATCTTTTATTAAAAAAAATTATAAAAAGAGTTTAGATTTAATCACTTAAAAGGTATGGCAGCTTCTGAAGGTATAAATTTTAGATTAAATTTAGGTAAAACTGATATAAATAATATTACTTACAAACCATTAAATACAAAGAAATAAGCGAAGCAAAAGGTATAATTGTTTGCGCATGTAATAATGGAATACTACAATATAATAAAACAAATCGCTAAAGAAGCTGTTAAACAATTTAAAAACGAAATTAAAAGAATTATTAATTTGCAAGATGAATTTATAAAAACTGAAGAAAGTATGCCTATGGTTGATTTAAATAATCAATATACAGAAAATTTCAATCAAATAACTAATCAAGAACTTAGAGAACATATAGGTGTGATGACTCCATCTGGAACTATTGATAAAAGAACACGACCACAATTCATAGAAGCACAAATAAATCACTTTGCTGAAGAGTTAAACAAAACTGTAGCTAGAATAGATGAAATAGAAAATGAAAATGAAAATAATTTTGACAATATTGATGAATTAACTAATTTGCATGAAAGAGCTGCGGAATTAGAAAGTATAATTAGAGAAGAAGAAGATCAATTAGAAAAAGAGGATGTACGAGATAAACAGGAAGAAGACATTACTAGATTACAACAGTTTAAAAAATGGGTTAAAGAAAATATCAGGATTATCAGCTTTAGCTATATCTGTGGCTGGTATAATTACAACCATTATCATTGGTGCAAGAAACAATCCTACAAGGTGCTCAAACTGCTACTAAATTTTTCTAAGGCTTTAGCAAATCTAGGTAAAAAATTATGCCATGATGTTAGGACCATTATTGAATATTATCGCTCAGGCTATATCTTGGGGAGCTAAAGGGTTAGCATGGGTAGCTTCTAATCTATGGGTTTTAGCTATTGCTGCTGCTTTGTTAATATATGATCAGTATAAACAAAGAAGAAAATAAAATATGTTTTAATATGTATGAATAGATTATTACAAGAAGAGCTTTTACCTGGTTATAAAAGGACTGCTATGAAAAATTAAAGGTAATACACTTTTATAGTATAACCTTTAATCCTAATAGTCTTGAATGAACAAGTTTATATTAATATTCCGAATTGAAAGCAAATAGTTGCAGTGCCTGGTTCACTTAATCTATCGTTTGATCTTAAAATCAGTAATACAAAAGTCACTTTATAAATAATCTCAGTCAGATTTTACAAAACAGACTACAAATTAAAGTTGCTGGAGAAACCCTTTACGATTGTAGTGAACATAATGTTATAAAGTGTATACAAAGACTTGTGGTTACCTAAAAGTGATCGACAAGGTCCTTATTGAATATGGCATATGTAGTCAAAATCTAAGAAATTTATTTCTAAGGATGATAGTGCTGCAACAAGTGGAGATTCAGGAAAAGTAGCAGACAAATTAATGTATGATATTTATAGTACAAGACAAATTAATATTGATAATATTCTTAAAGATCATGGTTTGTATTGCCCTTTCAATATGAATAATAACTTTCAATACATAATAACATTATACCAAGTGATCAAGTCCTTATTGCTCAAAGTGAAACTATCGGTGATTATGAATTAGAAAATATTCAGCTGGAATATGAAACTATTGAAGAAATCAAGAAATTGCAGATGAGGTGACAAATTTATATTCTATAGGGAGAAGTCTATTTTATGAACATATAACCCTTTAAAAAGGAAAAATGGGATAAGTCAAGTACATTACAGAATGTAACGTCAATGTGCCTAGAAAAGCATGAAAGGCATTACTACTCAGAAAATTCAGTTAGTGATAGTGAAAATTTTATATCACTCATAATGAAGTTAAAATAACTGCCGAAAGGTGCCTAATGTGATTTTCGCCCAAGGTATGAATAAAAACAATTTTATGAAGAAGCAAGAAAATTTTTTGATAGAACTATTCCGATAGATTGCTTCATGACAATTGAAAAATTTTCTAAGAATAAATTTGCATTAGTTATCGATCTACGCACCTTTCAACAAAAAAATATTGCTGGTAACGGAAAAAAAATCTTTAATACTCAAAACGGCATTCTTCTCGAAATTAAAAAGAGAGCATATACAAAGATTTAAACTGTTACATCTATGTCGTTAGTGATGCTCTTGTTCAATTTGTTAATAATGATTTACAAAGTATTCAATACTAGAATAACCAGTAATATATATATGAATACACCCTTTAATATGATTATTTTAGGTACACTTGACGGAAAAAAAACCTTCTTTCTTTAAGAATGTTAGAAAAAACTTTAATAGACATTTTGATTATATTATTTTATATATGTCCAACTCTATCATATAATAAAACATATCAAGAATGGAAATATATAAATGATTCTGATTTAATTAAGTAGAATGTGACCAAGATCAGGTAGATGTTGTTTTAAAATATGTTAGTGATGTATATAAAGGTACAAATAGTCTTATTATACTTGATGACTGTGCGAGTTGTTTAGATGTTAAAAATAGGACATCGCAATTAATAATTAGGGTTTAGTGCTCGCTACTATGGGCTTTCTACTATTGTTATACACAGCAATTGACTAGTATTTCAAACCTTATCGCGAAAATATAAGTTATTTAGTTACATTTTATAATACAAACCGCAATGATATGAAACCATATTTGATGATTATCTTTATGGTGTTGAGAAAGATGATATAGAAGAAATAACCAAAAAATTGAAAAATAATAAGTATGCACATTTAGAAATCCAACTTGTATTCCCATACAATGGAAATAGTTATTTAGCAATAAAACATTTGTTATATATATATGCCAAAGCGTAAAGAACCTGAAACAATTGACGATCTAATTAATGAGATTGATTCCGCAAATGATACTATTAAAGATGCTGTATGTGATGAAAATATACAAGATAAACCGCAAGAGGGTTTTAATAAAGAGATCAACTACTTAACTAGCTGAAGATGGTGATCTAAATAAGTCAGTTGCTTACATTAAAAAGCTAGTCAAAAAATTATTGATAAATTATACACTGAATACGAGAAAAAACGATTACAAAAAGCTAATGAGTTTTAACTGATTTAGTTATATCAAAATTTTCAGATATATTAAAAGGGTTTGATGCTATTGAAGACTCCAAAGAATTAACAAAACAGCTTAAATCAGACGACCTTTAAAACGAGATGTGTAAAGGTTTAGTAGAAAAATATCACCCCTATTACATTTTAGAGGTTTTTATCTGGCTGTATAACAACCGTTAAACATGTTTACGAACATAAAAATAATAAACCGGATATAAAATCTGAGGAATAATATAAATGAGCTTATTTTATGGGCATAAAACAGATATTAATGTAAATATACAAGGATCTGTAGATAAAACACATCTATCAGATAATTATTATACTAAAACACAAGTTAATAATAAATTTAATGACCACTATAAATAAAACTCAAGTTGATAATAAATTTTAGACCACTATAATAAAACTCAAGTTGATAATAAATTTAAAATGACCACTATAGTAAAACTCAAGTTGATAATAAATTTAATGACCACTATAAGTAAAACCCAAATTGATAATAAATTTAATAGCTAATATACAAAAATGAATCAAATTCCAAGTATGCTTTGACTTATGATTTATCCAAATTCTATACAAAAAATGAATCAAATTCCAAGTATGTTTTGACTTCTAATTTAACTAACTATTATACAAAAAATGAGATTGATAGCAGAGTAAATGGTAAAGTAGTATACCATAGCAATCAATTAAATTATAAAAATTTTAATAGCCGACAAGATACTATCAGAATTTTTTAATAATATTAAATTTATTGAATTTACACTTTTATTAATAAATATCTGATAACTCTAAAAAATTGAATTAGATATATGATGGTAGATAAGATTAAAAAATTTATCATTAAACTAACAAATGATAATGAAAAAAGATAGTTAATGCATTACTAGATTTATATTACGTATACTGCTGATGATGATTTAAACTATATTTATATTATTATTGAACCAAAAAATCTACAGCTTCAATTGAATTATGAATATATGGAAAAGAAAATGGCAAAGCATTTAATGGATTAACAAAATTCAAGTTTATTCCAACATCAATCTACATTATCTATGACATTTAATGGTTTTCACAAAATTTTAGGGCTACTATAGAAGAAATATTCTATCAATTAAAAATTTGTAAATGATGAAATCGAAAAATTAAAAAATTTATTAAAGATAACTATCAAGCTAAAACTTAAGATGAAGAATAATCCTCATGTTTGACTACATATCACATAACTGTTTGTAATAAGTAATTAATACAAAAGCAATATACAAAAGATTCAAAATCCTGACAATTAGTAAAAACACTTTAACAAATATTATATTAAACATTGTTAAAGCATGTACATGTGACACACTTTAAAAACATATAGATTCCATATTTTGCCAAAAGAGCATCTATGACATTATTTAGCGCTCAAAATTTCAGGCTTAGTTGCCTGAAATTCTTCCCTTGAGACAACGATTTAAAAGATGCTTTATTAACCTTGATTATTAAAAGAATAATATTTCTACCACGCGCTGGGTTTTAAAGACCATTGTTAA